GGTTGTAGTAGATCCGCGCTAGAGGAGAGAAAATGTACCTCATTTTCTCCAAGAAGGTCCTTAAACGCTTCGGGGACTACATAGAGCTCAATATTATGCTTTCAGTACAGGAGTCCCTTACCTGGTGCAATGAGAACATATGCCGACATTGGTACCTTTAATTGTTTGCCTACCACGCATTCCTCCAACTGCTTCCTTAGAATCTAAGTGTGTGTCAGAGTGATTAGACCATTCATGACAGAGCGGCGTCCCTACTCACATATCTTATTAATTCAGCTAAATAAGGGCAACCCTGGGGCGTAAATCCAGACTGGATCAGCCTAACTACAGTTTCATTTAAGGTGGCTGGTTGGCCTTATTGAGAGTATGAGTAAGTTTATACTATGCAGAGAGCATCCGATACCTGAGATTAGATTTGGGAAATAATTGAGTAGGCCTTCCTCTTCATCGTCGTCCCCATCACCTTCTTCACGCGCCTCTCCCACCAAATCTGTATGCCTTTCACGGAACCTGTTATTTGCTTTGAGGGCTGTAGGTTCGGGAGGTAGACGACTTAGGCGTATGGGTAGTACACCTCCTTGACGTTCGATATAACGGCAGAGTTTGGGCATGTCCCGATCACCCGTCCATGTTGTTAGAGCATCGAATTTTTCTTGCATATTCTTCTGATTAAGATCAGAAAACACCCTCGGTGGGACCCCATTAAAGGCCAAATTGATGATTAGATCTGCATTAATCCGATGAGGTGTCCTCAAGTAGGTGGTTCTCACCACCTCCAGCCTGCGTTGATTAGCATTAGCCTTCTGGCCTCTAATTTTTCGTTGAGAGGGTCTAATCCAAACAGTTGGCGGGTCAAGAAGGCCCTCTGTATACGTTTCATCGTTCGGACGCAGCAAGAGGATTCCCTGGATAAGCGTTAGCATACGAAACCAGATGTATCGACATCAAATACCTTGTCTCCACCAATTCGAAATTGGATCGCACATGGGACAATGGCCAAATCCAGACTTTCTCTGATCCTTCTCAACAGAGACAAGTTTGCGTAGCCACAACCATCGGTCATACAAATATTGTCAGGGAGCTTGTCTTCCACCAACCTCTTCCCATCTGATCAAGTCATTAGTAAGGAGATTAGGTCGTTGGCCGATCTATATACCGAAATCTCCTATAAAGATTATTCTTTCTCGTTCTATAACTTCGGAGGGAACTACGGCAGAAAACCCTAGATCGAAGCGGGATGCCCACTTGCCTACAGTTTGTTCCTTATTTTGTGTAAAGGGGTTGTGCCAATTCCAAAATCTTATGAGACTCTCTGCCGCTTCGAGGGTCCATAGGAGTATGACCGTCTGATCTTTCACAGCACACATCATAAATGACCTTCCCATAAGTGTGAATTCGACCCCGATAAAGAATGAGATGATGCACTGTGCCTCGAATTTTTCCGGGAGTTTGATTCGAATCATTGACTCTGAGCCATTCTTTCGCGCGAACCGGCATGAAGCTACCAGCATCGGGGAGTCAAGGACGATCTTCGACTCTTTCTGATTGAAATGTGCCCTGAAATGAACCTTCCCGTAGCGTGCACTTGTCTGGCATTCGTCTGCTGTACGTGCATACTCTTCGTCGATCTCTGCCCATGGCTCCTATAATAACCAGTCAGAACTGAGATCTGGTCAGCATCTCAATGAAATAACCGTGAGTCTCCGTTCCTGAATGGTGAGGACTTCATCCGATGGGCGCCCAGGTGAATTGGGAATCGATTTGACCAACTCTTTCAATCTTTGTACCCCAGTCGCCGTTGATTGTATGTCACTGAAGTCGGTATCAAGAAACCTTTCGACGAATTGCTGTAAAAACTCATCATTTGGTTGACGAGACTGAATGATTCTCCCGAGCTCCCACTGAACACACCAAGGTAACTGTTGGACCTGTTTGAGTTCCCCCAACATACTAGCAACATGGTGAGCGACAATGGGATGTGTTTCAAAAGGTTGTGACTGCATGGTCAAAAGGAAAGGAGGCAATGATACAGTAGAGCCTGGCGTAGCTCCAGCTTGAGATCACCGCATCTAT